CCTCAGTCACCCATCTCGGGTCCGGAGGCCCAGCAGCCTGCGCCTTCAGGATGCCAACAGGAAGCACTGTTTGTGGGGGCAGATTGGAATGCAGCGGAGAGAGGTCCCTGGCGAAAACAGAAGAGGGACAGGAGCCTGAATCAGTCCCTCGCAGGGTGAGGTGAGTCAGGGGTAATGACTAGGTGGCCAAAACAGAGACTCCTTTTTAGTGGTTTTTCAGGACACTCCGAACTTCATCTGTCCTATAATATCAGGACCAAAATACTCCTTGGCTACCTTTCTCCTCCATCATAGACTCTTACTTACGGTTGGAAAGGCCCTAGAAATTATCCAGCTCAACTCTCTCATTTTACAGAGAAAGAGAAAGGGGCCCAGAGAGGGAAGGCATTGGCCCAGGGTCATCCAGCAGGCAGCCCGAGAGCCGGGGCCAGGACCAGGAACCCGGGTCACCTACCCCATCACCCTGAGTCCATGGTCCTTGGCATGCTCCTCTCTCCCATCATCTTACCAGAAGGCTCTCCTACCTAATCTTACCTCCTTTGGCCTCTTCTCTATATGTAATCAAAGAAGACTTTCTAAAGAACAAATGAGTTAGGATGCTACCTGCCTAAAGCCTTCCCTTACTCTCCACTGCCTTAGGGTGAAAGACACTCATAATCTTTGCCCTCACCCCGCCCACCTCTCGGGCTTCCTCTCTTGCTCTTCGTCCCGTTTTATACTGTTAGTTCATGCTCCTGAACTACTTGGAGCTCCCTAGATATGACATGTCCTCTCCCAACGGTGATCATACCGTCCTCTCTGCCTTTAACACTCTTACCAACCCTGCTGCATTTGTCGGCTCTTTTTTAGGTTACAGAGTAGATCTTCCTTTTTCCAGGAAACCTCCTTGGCCTACCAGCCTCCAGGGTAAAGTGTCCCTACTGAGTTCTCTGGCAGCAGCTCTATGATGTTATGACCCATGTTGCCATCAGTTTCTCCTGGCCCCTGAGAGAAGACTGGGTATAAAAGACAATTCTGCCATCCCTTAGAAGAAAGGGAATGCTGTATGGAAACCAGCACTTCTCCAGGATACCTCTTGGTACTTCCAGTGACCATAGTAAAATTAATAAAAAACGAACCCAACCAACTACATAACCAACAAAGGCGGGATCACTAAGGGTATGGACCCTTCAGGAATGAAGGTTTTGATCACTCTGCCAGGTAAAAGCCAGGCCAACAGAGGGGTGGGCAGAAGGCCAATGGAACATGGGATGAATAACGGAAGAAGGAATTTATTATATTAACTACAGCCTCATGACCAGTTGCAGAAAGAGAACTATAGAAGTGATACAGTTTTTTTTTTCCTTGCTTGTATGCATGTATGTCTGTGTCTACGTCATCTATCTTTGCATTTATTCATCTATATGCACATTTGGAAAGCACAGAGGAGGGAAGTCCAACCCAGACACAGCAGTGGAGTATGAGACAGAAGAGATGGACAGGCTGACCGAGAGGTGGAGCTTGCAATGAGCTAAGGCTGTGCCACGGCCCTCCAGCCTGGGTGGCAGAGTGAGACTCTGTCTCAAAAACAAACAAACAAGGCCGGGCGCGGTGGCTCAGGCCTGTAATCCCAGCACTTTGGGAGGCCGAGGCAGGTGGATCACGAGGTCAAAAAATTGAGACCATCCTGGTCAACATGGTGAAACCCCGTCTCTACTAAAAATACAAAAAATTAGCTGGGCATGGTGGCGCGTGCCTGTAATCCCAGCTACTCAGGAGACTGAGGCGGAAGAATTGCCTGAACCCAGGAGGCGGAGGTTGCGGTGAGCCGAGATCGCGCCATTGCACTCCAGCCTGGGTAACAAGAGCGAAACTCCGTCTCAGAAAACAGACAAACAAACAAACAAAAAACAAGAGAGACCAAGCACCGTGGTCCACGCCTGTAATCCCAGCACTTTGGGAGGCTGAGGCAGGTGGATCACCTGAGGTCAGAGTTCAAGACCAGCCTGGCCAACATGGCAAAACCCCATCTCTACTAAAAATACAAAAATTAGCTGGGCATGGTGGCACATGCCTGTAACCCCAGCTACTCAGGAGGCTGAGGCAGGAGAATCACTTGAATCGCGAGGCAGAGGTTGCAGTGAGTCAAGATCCCACCATTGCGTTCCAGCCTGGGCAGCAAGAATGAAACTCCACCTCAAAAAAAAAAAAAAAAAAAAAAAAAAAAAAAAAAAAAAAAGCTACTGACTCTCAGCCCCAAAGTAACCCTTCTATACTCAACTTGGCAATGCTGAGACCGGAACTGTCTGAATGTTAGTTTTACCAGCCGACTCCTTGATAGGGGCTGTAGGCAGATAAAGACTCTCTCCTTTCTGTTGTCCTTGTTGTTCATGCCAGGGGCAGGCATCTCCGCAGTGTCATTGCACTTCCGATTTCCAGTTTTTCCCACACTCCTAGAATCGGCTTCCTCTGTCTCTTAGAGGTTCCACTGGGCTGTGCTCCCCGCCGCCAGAGGTCTGGATCCCAGCTCTGCAGGAGCCATGCTCTGAGCTCCCAGGAGCCAGCCCCAGCTGCCCTCTGCTCGGGGGTCTGGGTGGCAGGTCCTGGGGGGGTCCCTCTGTTAACCTCCCAGCTTCTCACAACCTAATCTCTTCCTTTTGTCCACAGTCCTTGAGGGGTGCCTGCATCCTTCTGTTACTTTCTCTGTTACCTCGATGTGTTCCTTTGCTTTTCCAGTTCCCTGGTAGCCACCCATTTCCTGATACTAAATTCTTCCCGTTTTTCTTCTATTTATTTATTTATTTATTTTTGAGATGGAGTCTCGCTCTGTCACTTAGGCTGGAGTGCAGTGGTGTGATCTCGGCTGACTACAACCTCTGCCTCCCAGGTTGAAGCAATTCTCCTACCTCAGCCTCCTGAGTAGCTAGGTCTACAGGCACATGCCACCATGCCTGTCTAGTTTTTTGTATTTTTACTAGAGACGGGGTTTCACTGTGTTAGCCAGGATGGTCTCAATCTCTTGACCTTGTGATTCACCTGCCTTAGACTCCCAAAGTGCTGAAATTACAGGTATGAGCCACTGTGCTTGGCAAATTCCTTTTTTCTAACTGAACTCTTACTGATACAAGTAAATATAATGCAGAGTTCTCTCTCACACGATCTTACAGTCTAGTGGGAGAGATACAGATTAGAAAAATAATTATATTTAATTATGTTGAAATTAGTGCTGCGAAGGAAAGCACAAAGTATATTAGCATACTAAAGGCCCCGAGAAGTTCTGCAGTAAATAAGCCTGGTTAGCATTGTTTCGGGCAACTTCTCCTTGTCTTTTTTGACCGAGAAACTTTATGGTGACCTATGAGCACTGAGCAGAGTTGGTATGCTACAGAGTAGTGCATTGTGCAAATGGAAAAGGGAAGTCATTGAGAAAATGTGAGCGGGGGACTTGGAGCGTGAGCATTGCCATTCCTCCAGTAGCATCCAGTGGGTTAGGGGCAGCTCACCTTCAGGATTCCAGTCACAGGATCAGCTGACAATTCTCCTTGCTCTTTCTTTTGAGACTGAGTCTCACACTCTGTCTCCAGGCTGGAGTGCAGTAGCGCAATCTTGACTCACTGCAACCTCCGCCTCCCAGGTTCAAGTGATTCTCCTGCCTCAGACTCCTGAGTAGCTGGGACTACAGGCGCTTGCCACCATGCCCAGCTAATTTTTGTATTTTTAGTAGAGACGGGTTTCATCATGTTGGCCAGGATGGTCTTCATCTCATGACCTGGTGATCCTCCCATCTCGGCCTCCCAAAGTGCTGGGATTACAGGCATGAGCCACCGCACCCGGCCTCCTTGCTCTTAGTCTCACCCCGCAAGGCACGTTTCTGGCCATCACTGACTTACTGAGTAAATTTCCCTGTAGGGAGAGGATGCTCTCATTCACCACTGCAGACGTCCTAGTCTACCTGGCAGTTTCTTTCTCATTATAGAGCAAGGTTTCTTGACCTAGGCCTTTAGAGGTACCATCCATCCCTTAAGGCTATCTGCAGAATGTGTGTGTGTGTGCACGGGCGTGTGTGTGCACACGTGTGCATGCATGGACATTTTTCTGGCAAGAGGGTCCCTATCTTTTGATATTCCTAGTGGGCGTGTGACTCCAGAAAAGGGAAAGGCTAGGAATTACTGCATTCAAGGAAAATGTTTCTATTATTTTGTATATTGATCTCCTGTGAGTGTGGTCACTGTCAATGGGTTCTTCTCAGTCTGATCAGCCTTGTGTTGACTCACCAAACGAGGTTCTGGATTCTCCAAGATACCTACTTCCCCAGCTAAAGGACTAACCAAGCTTCTTGGACCTCAAGGGATTACTGCCCTCCAGGCTGCTGCCTGTGCCATTTCCTATCGCTGGGAAACCGTTTCCCCAAGCCTTGCGATCAACTCCCAGTTTCTCTTTGGGTCTCAGCTTAAAAGTCATTTCCTCCTTGAAACCTTCCTGACTTACCACTTCAGGATCTGATACCCCTTCTTTGTGCTCCAACAGCATCTGTCCCACCTCTCTGGGGCTCCTACTTTCCTTCTCCACAGAACCATGGTTTTCCCTTCATTGTGTCTGTCCCATGATGCAATTAACTGTTTATAGTACTTCTCTGCCACCTTTGGAATGCAAGCTCCACAAAGAAGGTAGACTGTGTCCAGCTTTGCTCGCTTCTCCCCCATCACCAAGCACGGTGTCTAGCATACAGTAGGTGCTCATTTAAAATAGAAGGAATGTACGCAAAAATAAGTACCTTAATCCTTTCTGTGTGACTATATGTGCCATCACAGCTAGGTCACAAATGTCCTTCTACTTCACTCTAGGACTAGGTACAGATTTGCCAGCCACGAAAAGTCCAAAAAATTCAGGTAATCAATTTTTGTCTTTTATCAGCAAAAGCTTCTTTCTCATCAAGTGCATGCATAATTTGTACTCGCAGATGCGCATACTTATATGTGGGTGAAGAGAAAAACCGAGCTGCTGTGCTGGAAGAAACCTACCTGCGTTTCTCAGAAAGCGGTTCCTATAGTCCTTGATTACCCTCGTGACCGGGTTATAGAAGCCGTCTCCACAATCATACCAGCCCTTGGGGATTTTTCTAGGTGGGTCCATATTGGTGAGTTGAGCCATACCTTGAAAGAACACAATGAGCAATTAGTTCACCATCAAGGCCAAATCCAAACCCAATGTTCCCATAAGGTCCACTTGTGACTGATGGCTCATGTGACTATCTGGCTCCATTGTTGAACTTAAATACCCCCTACTAAGGGCAAGGAGCAAATCCAGCAGAAGCAGTGTCCCAAAGGAACTTTCTGAAAAATGGCTCTATGGAACAGGGTCTTGGGAACTAGACTCTGTCTTCTTCTTCCTTTGACCCCATTCTCCTCTATTTTTTGGGATACCATGACAAAGGGCACAGGTTCTAAAGTCAGACAGACCCTGAGGATGGGTCAGAGTTGACAGATGGATAGGAGAACATCATGTCCAGAAGATGGGTAGCATTCAAAGCATGGGCAGAGGCCAGAGGCATGGATCCTTAGACTCCACTCTGGAAACCTTGGAGAGCAGAGCACGTGTGAAGGAGAACAGCACTAAAATAGATCAGGTGGACAAGGGGCAGGTAGGTGGTGAAGAATCTTGACTCTCACCCAAATTGCCATGGTGGCTGCTACTTATTGAATGCTTATTATGTGCCAGGCATTGTGCTCCTATGTTATTTAATTCTGTGAGCAACTCTGCAATCCCATTTTACAGAAAACTGAGGCTCAGAGAAGTTAGAGTAACTTTCCCAAGGTTATCCAGCTAGGAAGCAGTCCAGCTCTGGAACCTGTATGTTCAGCTGCCAATACCAGGGGAGGAGAGAGCCTAGGTGCAGCCACGGGACCAGGGACACTGGGACCTCTGGGAGGGAAAGAAGAGTGAGTGCACCTTTTAGGTCATGCACCTTATGTGCGTGTATCTTGAAATACCATGGCTCAGGTAAAGGGAGAGGTTGGAATAAATAACTTCTGAGGTTCCTTCTAACTATAGTTCCTATAATTCCTTGTTCTCTGGACTGAGAGCTGGATGCCCACTGAGCTCACAGCATCATGTCCACAATTCAGTGTCTTGCACACAGTAGGTGCTTTTTTTTTTTTTTTTTTAGATGGAGTTTCACTCTTGTTGCCCAGGCTGGAGTGCAATGGTGCGATCTCAGCTCACTGCAACCTCTGCCTCCTGGATTCAGGCGATTCTCCTGCCTCAGCCTCCCGAGTAGCTGGGATTACAGGCATGTGCCACCACACCCGGCTAATTTTGTGTTTTTTTTTTAGTAGAGACAGGGTTTCTTGATGTTGGTGAGGCTGGTCTTGAACTCCCAACCTCAGGTGATCCAGCAGCCTTGGCCTCCCAGAGTGCTGGGATTACCAGCATGAGCCACTGCAGCCAGCTAGTAGATGCCCTTGTGTTGCTTAATGACATACCTAACCCCAAACCTGACACTGACCCTGACCCTAACCCTAAACCCATGTGTACTGGCTAATGTTTACTGAACACTGACTCCATGTCAAGCACTTTACCGCCATTCTCTCACTGAAGCCTCATGCCAATGCCCATCTCATGGATGCTCAAAGAGGTCACAGGAGGATCCTTTTTTTTTTTTTAGAGATGAGGTCTTTTTTTTTAAGAGATGAGGTCCTTGCCCAGGCTGGAGTGCAGTGGCTGTTCACAGGTGTGATCCCACTACTGATCAGCACAGGAAGTTTTGACCTGCTCGGTTTCCAGCCTGGGCCAGTTCACCTCTCCTTAGGCAACCCGGTGGTCCCCCACTCCCGGGAGGTCACCATATTGATGACAAACTTAGTGCAGACTTCTGATTGGCATAGCACACTACAGCCCAGAACTCCTGGGCTCAAGCAATCCTCCCACCTCAGCCTCCCAAGTAGCTGGGACTACAGGCACGTGCCACCCTGCCTGGCCACAGGACACTTTTAGCCCTCACTTTGCCTTGCAGGCAGGGCGAGTTACCCTAACAATGCCAGCCCCAAGAGGCAGAGTGTGGGGTGACAAGGGAAGGAAGTAGCTACTTAGAATCAAGCTGCCCTGCTGAGGGTCACTAGAGAAGGGGAGAGCCAGGCAGGTTTGGGAAAAGCCATGACGGTGCCTTTGAGACTGGCAGAGGCTCAGCTTTGGCAAAACCAGCCAATGTGTGAAAGCGGAGGCCTAAGGCTGAGGGCTTTTTGCCTGCAGCCTTAATTGGGGTGAACAGCCCATGACAAAGTCCAGGCCTCCCATCATAAGTAATTGCGGAGGAGCGATTTGCAAGGTTCCAAAGTTGCAGCCAGATTGGCAGCTCTTTGAAGGAAGAGATGATGTCCTTTCAGCTCTGGGTCTCCCCAGGGCCAACCAGTGTCTGACATACAGTAGGAGCTTAGGAAATGTTTCTTAATGTCATTGCCTTAACTCCCCTACGCACATACTTCACCCTGCACTGTGATGTCAATATCATTATCCCTGTTTGACAATAATTCTTTAATCAGCACCCACTGTACTCCAGGCAATAGGCTAGGGCCCTGCCCTCATGTTGCTCACAGCTGGCTTGGGAAGATGAGCTGAAAACTCATGATCCAAGTCCTGGGGGGAGATTATGGTTGCTCTTTGATATTCCCCAGGGAGACCTTACCTGGTGTGGGAATTCAGGGAAGGGGGTCCTAGCTTCAGGACATGGAGCTGAGACCTGAAGGATGGGAAGGAGTTATTTGGGTAAAGTGAGAGGGTTGAAGTATTCCAGGCAGAGGCTGGACATGGTGGCTCATGCCTGTAACCCCAGCACTTTGGGAGGCCAAGGCAGGCGGATCACCTGAGGTCAGGAGTTCAAAACTAGCTTGGCCAACATGGCAAAACCCCATCTCTACTAAAAATGACAAAAACTAGCCAGTTGTGGTGGTGGGTGCTTATAATCCCATCCACTCAGGGAGGCTGAGGCACAAGAATCACTTGAACCCAGGAGGCGGAGGTTGCAGTGAGTTGAGATCACACCACTGCACTCCAGCCTGGGCAACAAAGCAAGACTCTGTCTCAAAAAAAAAAAAAAAAGTATTCCAGGCAGAGAGAATGGCAGGAAAAAGTGTGGTCTCTTTGAGAAATAGAGAGAAAGCAAGCATGCAAGAGGGGCAGAGAAAAACTGAGAAGGGTGGGTAGCCCAGGATTAGGCTGGGATATCAGCAGGAGCCAGGGGATATCAGCATTTCTGATAATTTGAAACCTTATTTTGAGGGCATAGGAGGCACTCAAGGGTGTTGGGGTCAGGGGGCAATCAGATTCACATTTTAAAAGATGTAAGTGGCCAGGCATGGTGACTCACACCTGTAATCCCAAGTTAAGGAGGGAGGATTTCTTGAGGCCAGGAGTTCTAGATGAGCCTGGGCAACATGGCAAGACCCCACCTCTATAAGAAACTCAAGAAAAATAAAATTCACCAGGAGTGGTGGTGCATGCCTATAGTCCCAGCTACTTAGGAAGCCAGATCTCTTGTCAGGAGGATGGCTTGAGCCCAGAAGTTCAAAGTTACAGTGAGCTATGATCTCACCATTGCACTCCAGCCTGGGCAACAGAGCAAGACACTGTCTCAAATAAATAAATAAATAAAATAAGATAAATAAAGATGGAAGTGGCTGCAGAATGGAAAATGACCTCAAGGGGGTCAAGTGGGAAGTCAGGTCATCCAGGGGAGAGATGATGGAGGGCTGGAACAGGGCAGTTGCAAAGAGAGTATGAAGAGAACGCTGACTGGCACGTGGAAGTGCTCAATAAATATTTGTTGAATAAACAAATGAAAGAATACATTTCAGAGGTAAAATCCGTAGGGCCAGGTGATTGATTGCACTTAGGGGACAAGGGAAGGGAGGATTAGGCTTACCTAGGTGGATGGGCATGCCACATTCAGGGAGGCAGCCATCACGGTGGGAGTGACAATGAATTCAGTGTGGAGAAGTTGGGGAATGACCAATACAGGTGTCAGGGAAGCTGGCTGCAGGGATCTGAGGCTCAGGGATTCTGGTTTCAATTTAGAAGCTGATGGTAGTTGAAGGCTTAGAAGTGTATCAGCTTGTTCAGGAAGAGTGTATAGAATGATAATGAAACAGTGCCCAAGCTAGAGAGCCCCGGGAACCTCAACATGAATAATGAGACGGCGGGAAGTTGAGGAGGTATTGGCAAAGAAGACCGGGGATAGGAGGAAAATAGCAGAGGAAGTGTCAGGAGGGCAAAGGGAGAGAAGGTGGCTCCCTGGTCAATGAACTGACCCAAGGTCATGAAGCCAGGAAGGGAAGGAGATGGGGGTTTGAGCTCCAGTCTACCTGACTCCAGTGCCTGGGGGCTTCCTGGAGACTTCTGCCCTGATGGAGGTTGACTTGTGCAGGCTCATCCAGCTATTGACAGGGAATGCTAGGACTCAAACCCACACTGTCTGGCTCCATGCTCTGCCAACTATAGCACATGGTCTCTCATAACCTAAGCTGGGATGGTTTTTATGGTATACAGAGTTGTTTTCCCATCTGTCATTTTGGATTTATTATTTCTGCTGTGCCAAAAACTACACTCCTCTTGAGGTCCCCTTATCTCAAACACAATCCCAGAAACACTCAGATGAGCCTTTTAAGGTGCCACTCTCTGAATCCAGACGTGTGGCCCAAATGTAGCCCTCCGTGATGGAACATGGTGTTTGCAGAAAGGAAGCATAATACAGGGGACCTCAGTGAGGAAGACTGGGTCTCCAGTGTGAGCTCTGCCACTGGAAACCATATCTGGACTCCACAGCCTCAACTTGGAGTGACATGGGACTATGAAGGCTGACTGGGTGGGGTCATCTGGACACTAGGGAGGCAGAGATTACAGAGAGCCTCCCCAGCACCTGATACACAGAGTACATGCTCTGTCAGGACAGCCTTTGCCCTTACGCCTTCTTTTTAAAATATTTACATAATTTATGGTTACAGTAGGTACTACAAATAAGAATAACTGATATGTACCATGTACCTGCATGCATTCAAGACACTGTTTTAAACATCTGACATGAATCTTATTTACAACAATCTTGGGAGGTAGATGATGCTACTGACCCCATTTTGATCTTTCTTTTTTTTTTCAAGACCAGAGTCTCACTCTGTCACCCAGGCTAGAGTGCAGTGGTGCGATCTCAGCTCACTGAAACCTCCTGAGTTCAAACGATTCTCATGCCTCAGCCTCCCTAGTGGCTGGGATTACAGGCATGCCACCACACCCAGTTTGTTTTTGTATTTTTAGTAGAGATGGGGGTTTCACCATGTTGGCCAGCTGATCTGGAAGTCCTGACCTGGCCTCTGAAAGTGCTGGGATTGCAGGCATGAGTTACTGCACCCAGCCAATTGACCCCGTTTTGAAGGGGAGAAACTGAGATGCAGTAGGCAAAGTCCCTTGCCTATGGTCCTCTGGCTAGCACAGTGGAGCTGAGATGTGAGGATTGGCCTTACTGGCTCTTTTGTATTCTGCGCCTGCTCAGTTCCTCTTTCCCTTTAAGTTACTTCAGTAGAATACATTCATTTCATCTCAATACTACCAAAAAACAAAAACAAAAAAGAGAAAAAGTTACTTCAGTAGGCCATAGTCCACTTCTCTGAAACTGTCTTAGCTTCCCTCTTTGAGTATGAAGGAAAGAGTGGGTGCTTGGGTACCTGCAGGCTTCAAGCCATTGCGAATCTCTGTGAAAAACCTCCGATCATAGCCGTCGCAGTAATGCCAGTTCTTCTCATCATAGTGCAGCCCGTCTGCGAAGGTGTACGTGCCCTGCAAGACAAGGAGCACACACGTGTCCAAGGAAGCTGGAGCCTTTTGCCGAGAGGTTTGGATGTCAAGGGAAGAGGGGGCCTTCTAATGGCCACAGTAAAGCAGTGGTAACTGTCACAATTATTATGGTTGTGACGACGAGAGGGAATGGGTGTAAGTGCTGAACTCTGTCCATGCCGCTCAAAGTAGGTGAACTCATTTTGGCAGATGAACTTGGGCAGATAACCCACTCTCTCTGGCCCTTCATTTCCTCGTTTGTAAGTTAATGATGGTGTACACAAAATAGGGTTGATTGAAACATCATTGAGATAGCACACATGAAGCATTTAGCAGACTGCCCGGCTGTGATGGTCAATTTTATGTGACAACTTGACTGGGTTAAGGGCAAGGGATGCCCAGATAGCTGGTAAAACATTTCTGGGTGTGTCCTTGAGGGCGTTTCTGGAAGGGATTTACATTTTAATTGGTAGACTGAGCAAAGAGGTGCCACCCTCACCAAAGTGGGTGGGCATGATACAATCCGTGGAAGGCCTGAATAGAACAAAAAGGGAGAGGAAGTGCCAGTTCACTCACTCTGCTTGCACTGTGACATCCACCTTCTCTTGCCCTTGGACATCCACATTCCTGGCTCTTGGGCCTTTGAACTCTGACTTCAACTTAAACCATTGATCCCCCCAGTTGAGGCCCTTGGGTTTGGACTGGAACCTCACTAACAGCTTTCCTGGGCCTCCAACTTGAAGAGGGAAAACTGGGAGGCTTCTTAGCCTCCATCATCTTGTGAGCCAATCCCTGATCTAAATCTCTTTCCGCACATCTCTGTATATCCTATCAGTTCTGTTTCTCTGAAGAACCCTGACTGACACACTGACACAAAATAAGCACTCAACAAATGTTATTATTCTTTTATTATTATTATAGCTGGAAAGGTCAGAGCCATCAGCCATGGCCCTTTGTCCAAACACATACATTCTGCTTTTGCTGCCTTAGTGCTAAAGGAAGTCTCAGGATGTAGAAATTGCATTGGCCTGGACATCAGGAAACCTAGGTGGAAATTCCAGTGATACTATTAATTCACTGTGTGACCTCGGGTAAGTCACATCCCTTTCCTGGGGCTTAGATTCTCCAAGCTATAAAACAAGGAGCATTTCTTAACTTTTTTAGGTCATGAGTCAGGCCCCAACATGCTCTTAGTGAAACTGATAAAAACTATAGATAATTTTCCTGCAGAAAAACTTAGTCTCCTTTACACAGAAACTTTTGTATATAAATCAAGAGGTTTTAGTGACTCCCTGAATTCTATTCATGACCCACAAATACCAGGTTAAGAATCCTTGGATTAGGTAAATTATAATGATAGCAGCAGTGGTGGTATAGGAAGAGCTAACACTTATCAAGTGCTTCTATGTGCCAGGAACTTAGCAAAGTGTTCGTGTATACTGCCTTATTTACATTTATGACCATCCTAGGAGGTGCCTTGTACTATTGTGGGAGGCTGAGTAATGGTCCCCTGTAGATATCCCTGTCTTCTGCAACTTGTGAATATGCTACCTTACATGGAAAGAGGGATTTTGCAGATATAACTAAATGAGAGATCCTAAAGTGGGAAGATTATCTGGAATATCTGGGTGTGCCAAATATAATTGCAAGGTCCCTATGAGAGGGAAGTAATAAGGTCAGGGTGAGAGAAGACGAGATGATGATGAAAGCAGAGGGACAGAGGGTGATGTGATGATGAAAACAGAGGTCGGAGTGATGTGTGGCCATGAGCCAAGGAATGCAGGCAGCCTCTAGAAGCTGGAGAAGGCAAGAAGACAGATTTTCCCATAGAGCCTCTGGAAGGAATGCAGGGTGGCTGACCTATTTCAGACTTCCAAGCCCCAGAACTGTAAGATAATACATTTGTGCTGATGTAAGACTAAATTTGTGGTAACTTGTTACAGCACCAATAGGTCACTAAAGCAACTACTGTTCCAAGTTGATAGGTGAAGAACTCTCAGGGAGGTGAAGTTGTGGGCCCAGTATCAGGCAGTAAGGGGTGTAACAGATGCAGACTCATCATGGCTTCTCCACAGGGCCCTACCGATCCAGAGGGAGCAGAATCTAGAACCCTGGGAGATCCAGAAGCAGGGAGAAATTAGCTGGGCAAGGTAGTGCACACCTGTAATCCCAGATACTCAGGAGGCTGAGGCAAGAGAATAGCTTGAACCCAGGAGGTGGAGGTTGTGGTGAGCTGAGAATGTGCCACTGCACCTCCACCCTGGATGACACAGTGAGACTCATTCTCAAACAAACAACAACAACAACAACAAACGTGGAGGGAGAAGCAAAGAGAAGAGAGGAAATGAAAGAAGGTAGGCACCAGACAGGGAGGGTGGGGCTCTTCCTGCCTGAGGACTTCTCCTCCACAGCCCATCCCCCGCAATGATCACCTTTATGGCCAATCCGTTTTCCCAAACAGCATCGTATTGGCTCCCGTTGGGGTAGTACAGGGTTCCGTCGCCATGAAACATGCCATCCTTCATTTCCCCAACATATACTGTTTCAGTAGGGAGGATGTACTTGGCTTTGCCCTCCATCCTGTAAAGACACGGGGAAATCATTGAGCCCTGTGTGACAGCTGGAGCGTCGGGGCTGGCAGGGACAGAGCGAGCAGGAACCCCATTCTCATCCTCCTCATCCTTATCGTCCCAGCAGTACTCTGCTGCAAACAAAATTTTTGTTTTGCTTCCCTCAAAAGCTCAAAAATGAAAAGAGGGGAGTAGAGTTTGGTCTGTTCATTCTCCCCTTCACCTAGAGGCTCACACTCACCTTGGAGTGCACACTGCCCCCTGAAATACATCCCCTTGGTAGGCCCAGAGAGTGTAGACTTGTGCCCAAAGCCACACAGTAAAAACTGTGGAGACTAGAGCCCAGGTTTTCTGGCAGCTGGTTCTGTCATTTCTCTGGTCCCCCATGACCAACCCATCCTTGCCTATTATGCCACCAGTGGAATATTTGGACAAATATGAAATTTAGAGATAGGAGATAAGAGTTTGAATCTTACTTCACCATTTTATAAATATATTATCTTGGATACTGATAGGGTTTGGCTGTGTCCCCACCCAAATCTCATCTTGAATTGTAGCTCCCATAATCCCCACATGTCATGGTGGGGGGGGGGGAACCCAGTGGGAGGTAATTGAATCATGTGGGTGCCTTTTTCCTGTTCTGTTCTTGTGATAGTGAACAAATCTCATGACATCTGATGGTTTTATAAAGGGAAATTCCCCTTAACATGCTCTCTTGCCTGCTGCCATGTAAGATGTGACTTTGCTCCCCCTTTGCCTTCCACCATGATGGTGAGGCCTTCCCAGACATGTGGAACTGTGAGTCTGTTAAACCTCTTTCCTTCCCAATCTTGGGTATGTCATTATAGCAGTGTGAGAACAGACTAATAAAGACACTTCCCCAGACCTCTTTGCTTGTGCCTCCCCTCCCTCCCTTCCTTCTCTTCCTTCTTTCCTTCCTGACAAATATTTACAGAGCACCTACATTTTGTCAGGGACTATGCTGATGGTCCAACCTGCTGAATACAATATAGATTCAACAGCGATCAACGCAGATGCAGTCCCTGTCTCCGGGGGACTCACAGTGGGGGCACACAACTAAGCAATTATACAATACGTGGTAAGTGCTGTGCAGGAGGAAGACAGGTCCATACAGCAGAACAAGGTAGGGACACCAGCTTGATAAATTGATTAGTTTCTTTGTTTTGTTTTTTTTCAAGACAGGGTCTCACTCTGTCTCCCAGGCTGGAGTGCAGTGGTGCGATCATGGCTCAATGCAGCATTAATCTCCTGAACTCAAGTGATCCTCCCCACTCAGCATCCCAAGTAGCTGGGACCACAGGGTGCCCCATCACATCCAGCTGGTTTAAAGTTTCCTTTTTTTTTTTTTTTTTTGTAGAGACAGGGTTTCTCTATGTTGCCCAGGCTGATCTCAAACTCTTGGGCTCAAGTGATCCTCCTGCCTCAGCCTCCCAAAGTGTTGGGATTACAGGTGTGAACCACTGCACTGGGCTGGCCAGTTTCTTTATAGGTGAAATGGCTGCAATTCATCCAGATAACATATAATGATTTTCCTAGTAAAGGGCCTGACATATAGTGAGTGCTTAATAAATATGCTTTTATTCATTCCTCGTCCATTCCTCCCACAAGCTGAAGGACTCTCCTAACTCTGACCTTCTTTAAGCTTTTGCTGGTGCCTCTGTTGGGATGCATAACACTTTCTACCTTGTGTTGTAATTAGGTATCTTAGCTCCTGTATTGAATTAAAACTTCTTTAAAGGAAGACCTTGGTATCCTCAGCTCCTAGAACCACTAAGCAGGTGCTTCATAAATGTCTCCTGAGTAAAGAATGAAGGAAAATAGAAAGACCAATGAGTGAACAGAATGGACGACAAAGTTGTTGAGATAGCTGAGTGAGATGATGGATGTGAAACCATAGCAGAATGCCTGGCATAGAGCAAGAAAATTGTTTCGCCTTTACTCTAGTGTAAGACATGGGGGGAAGGGAGAACCCCTCTTCTCCTTCCCTCTGCTACTCTTTGCTCGAGCTCACATCTATCATTTCTAAGCACTGTCTCCATATTAAAGTTCCACACCCTTCTCTGAAGTTAGACTCAACCCCTTTTCTTACTTCGAACTGGACATCACTGTTCAGACCTCTCACAGACATCTCCAACTCGCCTAATACAGAACTCAACCCCTCCTCCCCTAAGCAGCACCTCCTTAGAGCTCTCTACTTCCATGAATGGTATCAGAATCCTCTGGTTCAAGGCCAGGAGTTGGGCCCTGGGCTGGGGCTGTAAGTCATGTCTGGACAGGACTGGAGCCAATCAGCTGCCAACTCCTAGCAGTAAAATCCCCAAATCTCTCCTGCCTTTTTCTTTCCTATAGCTCCACTGCCTCTGCCTTGGCCCAGGGTTCTGCTGCCTCTTACTGGGACAACTGCAGTGAGCTCTGATTTGATCTCCCCGTCTATACTTGTCCTGCTTCCCTCCTCTCTCTCCCTCCCTCTCTCCTTCTCCTCCCTCCTTCTTTTTCTCCTTTCCTTTGTCTCTCCTTCACTTCCTTTTTTTCCTTCCTTCTCTTCCATTAAAAATAATTCATTCAAGATAAAAATCCTGCCTTGTAAATTCAAAGTAAGTTAAAAAAAGAGAAAAAAGCCACTTTATAATGAAGACTTCAATTTGTAATAAGGATATGATTACCAGATCTCAAATACCTATCAGATTAGCTGGGCATGGTGGTGCACATCTGTGGTCCTGGCTACTTGGGAGGCTGAGGTGGGAGGATCGCTTGAGTCTGTGGGGAGGAGGTGCGGGAAACAGAGAGGGTAGACGTTGCAGTGAGCCAAGACTGCACCAGTGCACTCCAGCCTGGGTGACAGAGTGAGACCCTGTCTCAAAAAACAAAACAAAAAAAAAAAACAACAAAAAAACTTACCATTCATTCATTCATTCAGCCAACATTTACTGAGTCCCTACCACATATATATACCATGAGGAAAGATGCACAGATGAAATAAGTTGTATTTCCTGATGCTTGGCTCTACCAAGGGTCTATCAGGGGTTCTTCCACCTCCAGAATTGTGCACGGTATTGACATTTTTTTTTTTTTTTTTGCCAGAGCACAGACTGCCTGCCCAGCTTCCCCTCGCGTGACTCCTCCCAGCACAACCCACTCTCCTCACAAACTGAACTGCCGGTTCTACTTTATACATGCCCTCTGCTCAGAAACATTCTTCACCTTGCATCTCCAACTACCTAAATCCTACCCAACCTTCAAGGCCCATTTCAAATATTATCTCTTCCATGAAGCCTTTAAGTATGGCTCCAACTATATGTGTCCTCTGAAGAGGCCCAGCAGCAGGGCTCTACTGTAGGAAGCACATGGGCTTTGGAGTCTGATAGACCTGGGTTTTAATATCTGCTTTGCCAAAGGCTAACTAGGTGACTTTAGGCAAGGTATATAATTCCTCTGAGCCTTATTTTTCCCATCTGTAAAACAGGACAATGATATTTATCTTAAAGAGTCCCTGTGAAGAGAAGATGCAGGCAAAGCCACCCAGAGCACAGTAGTCGCTACACAAATGCTATTGGCATTCCTTCCTCCCCTGTGTCTGTAGGTCTTTTCTGGCACTTACCTTGTGGTGCTTTGCAATGGAGTTATCTAGAACTCAATTGTGTGACTACTCCAAAGAACCCGTGATATTGAGGTCAGACGGATCCTACATTAACTTTTTATTTTTTAAATCTTCACATATGGTATGGGGAAATCATGTCTCTTTCAAGTTTTTTAAAAGCAGATTTATTGAGGTGTAATTGGCATACAATAAGCCATATGTTTAAAATATATAATTTGATATATTTTGACATCCACCTGGGAAACCATCATCACAATCAAGACAACATATCTACTCCCCCAAAAGTTTCTGCATGCCCTTCTGTGACACTTCCTCCTTGCCCCGGCCCACAGTCCTCATCTCTAGGCAACCAATGACCTGCTTTCTGTCACCATAGATTTGCATTTTCTAGAATTTTACATAAATAGAATCATACAGTGTCTACTCTTTTTTTTTGTCTGGCCTTTTTCACTCAGCATAATTTTTTTTGAGATTCATTCATGTTGTTCTGTGTACCGATAGTTCACTCCTTTTTATTGCTGAGTAGTATTCCAATGAATGGATATACCACAATTAGTTTCTTCATTCCCAAGATGACATTTGGGTTTGTTTCTAGTTTTGATTATTATAAATAAGGTTGCTATGAGTACTTGCATACCTGTCTTTGTATAGATAAACACTTTCATTTCTGGGGTAAATACCTATGAGTAGAATGGTGGTTTAACTTTTTAAGAAACTGCCAAACTTTTCCAAAGCAGTTGTACCATTTGACATTCCCATCAGCTGTGGGGAGTCTACATAGACTTTTTAAGTCAAATGTTAAATATCAACCTCCTACTGTATGGAGAAGTTGCTTTATTCATTTAAGCTCCAAAAGGAAAATATCCCCTCCCCAAATTAAAAAAAAAACTATTGTCTACCATATATAAATAACATCTATATATGATCATGATGTATTCCTTGGAACACTGCTGCTGAACATTCAGCATTGCCTTCCCATTTTACAGATGAGGAAACTGAGGTATGGATGGTTAATTAAACAAGAAGCAAGTGGCAGAGTTGAGCCCAGACCTGTCTCATGCTGAAGCCTTTTTCTCTCTTTCTTACATCCTGAAATTTGAGATGCCCCAAATAGAACTCTACTTAACTGTTGTTAAAAAGAAAAAAATCAACACCGAACACATGTCCAACTTATGAAAAGAAGTATAACAAGTGAAAAACTGCTGACTTCTTGCTAGTTATGGGAAGTTGGGAAGTTCTGTTCAGGTCTGGGAATCCCTATTATGGTTACAGAGGTACCAAACAATCCCAAGCAAAACCCAAATTCCTAGGGACAGAAGCATGGACATGGCTGATACGATACACAAACTCGGTGAAAAATACAGAGAAGGCCAAAGGCAAATGGCTGAATGTCTTCCCTCTTACCTCGTCTGTGTGTTTCTCTCTCACACATACACAGCCCATTGAAAATTAATGTAGTTTCTCAAGTTTTTGTGCCTAAAATGTCCAATACTCCATATCTATCTGCTAAAATTTTACCACCTTCACTGTAGCACAGCCTTGTGAAAAGTAAGAGCGTGGTTTGGACAGAGGATTGAGTTCAAATCCTGACTCCATTACTTCCTAGTTTTTTATCCATAATGGTTGGCAAGTCATTTTGCTTCTCTTAACTTCTGTTCCTTCATTTGCAAGGTCAGCCTAAACGATCTCACTGAGTAGTGAGATGGGGCACACAGCAAGCACCTCTGCCACTTACCTGCTAATTAGGACAAGTGTCTCAAGCCCTGTAAGGGTCACCTTTCTTACCCATGAAGATAATAACATATTCCTTGCAAGACTGATGTAAGGACTAGAGATAGCATCTCACAGCATCCCTACCACCTTCTCTAGGAATCTATCCCCTATCCCTGTCCAGACCACAGATCCCTTTTTCCTATGAATTCAAAATGCCCCTGAAGTCCACCAACTTGTGAATACAGGACCCAGGTGGGAGTGCTTTACAGTCCCGACAACTAGCACTGGATTGGCAAACAACTTCATGTCGTCCAGCCTTAGTTTCCTCAACTATAAAAACAGAGATTCCACTTTCTTCATCCAGGGTGGTTGGCAAGAAAGGGTGGCCACCTCTGTGTTCCTCTGCTTCTCTCTACTGCAGCTCTTACCACAATGAATTGCAATTATCTCTTATGTCTACTTGCCCCACCACATTTGGATGAACTTTCTGAGGATTTCAGAGATTGTGCCCAGAGTCAACTCCAGGACCTGGTACTCAGTAACCACCCAACCTTGTTGAATTGCTGAGCATGGTAGCTCATGCAAGAGGATCACTTGAGACCAGGAGTACGAGACCAGCTTGGACAACATAGCAAGACCTGGTCTCTACAAAAGGCTTTTAAAAATTAGCTGGGGGTAGTGGTCCACACCTGAAGTCCTAGCTACTTGGGAGGCTGAGGTGGGAAGATTGCTTGAGCCTAGGGAGTCAAGGCTGCAGTAAGCAGTGAACAGGCCACTGCACTCCAGCCAGGGCAACGGAGTGAGATCTTGTTTCAAAACAAAACAAAAACAATAAATAAAGAAAGAAAAAAACCTGTTGAATTGTTTTTACTACTAGTCCACTACAGTGATTTTTGTATATAATCCTCTATAATAATCCCTAGACTGTGAACTGTGAACTCCTGGAGGGAGGCAACCATGTAGATTCAGATTAGCCAGTCTCTCTTCCCCAATCTTTGTGTTTGTTTTCATAGCATTTACTACTATCTGTAATTATTTTATCACTTATTTGTTTATTGGCAATACATCTCCAACTGGATTATAAACTCCGTAGGAGCAAGGATCTTGACATTTTAAATATTCTTATTCCTATGCCTAAAACTGGCAGAGAGCATACACATACACAGAGTATATACGGAATGAATGCACCTCAGCTTTGCTGTTTATTACATATGGTCCTTGAGAAAATTACTCGGGCAAGTTTGCGAAAGTGCCTGGCACAAGGTGTTTCGAAGAAGCAAAAAGACAGCCGTCTTTTTCCAGTCACAGCTATTCAAGGTCTAGTGAGTGTATCAAATGAGGGCCTTACCTCCCATCTACATATTCCCCGATATATTTGCTCCCTGTGTACTCCATGGCGGCTGTTTTTAGCTTCCAGCTGCAAGGATCTGGAGTCTCAGTGGCTATGGCATCACTATGACAACTAGGAGGAGTGGGCGGAGCCGAATTGAAGCCCCGCCCCCACGGAGCCGGCAAGCGTCTTGGTGTTGCGCACGCTCCCACGCTCGGAGTTGGGTAGAGCAGTGCGCCTGCGTGTTGCCGGCTGCGCATGCGCAGGTGCCGTGTGGCTCTCGGCGGTCGAAAGGGGAGTTCAAGGAGACGGGGACGACGCGGCTGAGGGCTCCTCGTCGGGGTCAGGGCTGCAGCAGTCATGCCGGGGATAGTGGAGCTGCCCACTCTAGAGGAGCTGAAAGTGGAAGAGGTGAGGCTGTCCGGAGGACAGGCAAGGGAGACATGGGGTTGCGGCTTCTCGGGCCTGGGCCTAGCCCCGCTTGGGCTCAGCGGACCTTGGGCCCCGGGCCCTCCTCCGCAGTCCCCAGCACATATACAGGTCGACCCCCGGAGGTCCCTTCCGCAGCTTTGGGAGTTGCCTCCCCTCTCCACCTCACCCCGTCACATCCCGCAGTGGCCCTAGAATTCTCCCCCTTTCGCCCTCCACAGCGACCTGCTTCCCCTTCCGTGAATAATAGTGATACTTTTTATTAAGCAACAACCAGAGTCATTTTACTTAGCTTATGTGGCTTAATCCTCAAACTTGCATGCGAAGTGAGTATACAGCCCTAGGGGCTCACAGTCGAGGGAGACCGTCACCCACCTTAAAGTGATGTCACCGGTCCAGAGTGCGTAGTGGGGCGAGGAGGCCGCGGGAAAATGAGGTGGTATTCGAGCGTGCATCTACTCACAGCCATGGGAAGGTGTTTGGTGACAGGATTCATTTAAAGCATTCGTTTATTCAAGAGATATCATTTGAGTAATTAACATGTGCCCATAATGCTGAAAGAGATATACTTCCTGCTTTCATGGAGTTCACAATCTAGTAGGGAGACAGACACATAAAGGGGCAGTCACAGTACAGTGTAGTTAGTGCTGTGAGACGTGAAGTAGAAACACACCCTACTAATTATAGCTGACATGATCAAGCCCTTTCTAGATTCCAGGCAGGCTGCTAATTTCTTTCTATGCATTAATTCATTGAATCCTCTCAGCAACACTATAAGGTAGGATATACACAATTGATCTTAACATATTATAAATAAAGAAATAGGCCCCGAGAGTAGAAATGATTTGCCCAGGGTCACGGAGCACGTAAGTAGTAGAGCTGGAAGTGAACCCAGGTCTGATTTTAAAACCAGTGCTTTTCCAGTAATTATGGGTGAAAGCTCAAAAGAATGGGAAGGCCTAACAGGACTGGTGGGTTTAGGGAGCCAAGTACAGTTCGATGTGAGGCGAGTGGTGGTGAGAAGCAGCAGGTGCTGAGCCTGGAGAAGCAACTTGGGCTGAGATAGGACTTGGAAGTAGCTTCTGCAAGGTCAGACCAAACAGTTTGGACTTTATTCAGTAAAGGGATGTGATGGGAAGAGGTGGAAGGTTTTTAAGGCAGAGGAGTGTCATGACAGGGCTGGATAGCGGAACAGGCTATATTAAAGAGAAGAAGGCCAAGACTAGAAATGACGTGCTAGAAATGATATACCAGGCTCTATGGTAAGTGTTTTACCTGCAGTGTTTCGTTTAGCCGTAGATGCCTGTGAGAGTGGCAACTGCTATTTTCCTCACAGGAAGAAATTATTAGCTATGTTCAAGGGACTTTATTACATTTAGGTGACATTTACTCTGAGGTGGCAGAGGGGAACTGCCATGTGGCCACCAGTCTTTTGTCGCCCCCCCCCCACCCCCGACCCTATGTAGCTGGGTTAATCTTGAGTTGCTGTATTTTTTGTTGCAGTTTTTATTTGGTTCAACAAACATCTGAGGTTCTACTTCATACAACTGATACATCTGGAATAGATTTGCCTTTAGGGTTCACACAATTGAATGAACATACTGATAATTAAGTAACTATACAAGACAAGTGTGATTAAGTACTGCGAAAGGGGGGCAGATGTGATTTAAGAAAAGAAGATTTGGGCATGCTGCGATGGCTCACACTTGTAATCCCAGCACCTTGGGAGGTTGAAGCAGGTGGATCATGAGGTCAGGAGTTCGAGACCAGCCTAGCCAACATGGTCAAACCCCATCTCTACTAAAAATACAAAATTAGTCGGGTATGGTGGCCCATGCCTGTAATCCCAGCTACTTGGGAGGCTGAGGCAGGGGAATTGCTTGAACCTGGGAGGTGGAGGTTGCGTTGAACTGAAATCACGTCATTGCACTGAAGCGTGGGCAACAAGAGCAAAACTCCGTCTCTCACACACTCACAGACACACACACACACACACACACACACACACCCCAAACACCCACACACCCCACCCAAAGAAGAGAATATTTGAAGTTGGATCTAAATTCTAGGCTTACCTGCTGGTCATCTTGATTACTTGATTTTAGCATTTGGAGACATGGTTATTTGTAAGATGAGGTGATCCCAGCTCTAAAATTATTTGAAGCTATAAAGGGATTAGAGAAAGCACTTTTGGGGCATAATGTAAGACATGGCTAAATGGCATTTAAGGGCAGAGATGGAGAGAAGATCCTTGTAAGTTAGGTAGGGTCTGAGCAGAAGTAAGGAGACGGAAAAATTCAGGGAGCCAAAAAGGAGTTCAGTGTTTTTTGTTTTTGTTTTTGTTTTTAAAGTGATGGAGTCTTACTCTGTAGCCCAGGCTGGAGTGCAGTGGCTCGATCTTGGCTCACTGCACCCTCTGGCTCCCTGGTCTTGGTTCAAGCAATTCTCCTGCCTCAGCCTCCTGAGTAGCTGGGATTACAGGCATGCGCCACCATGCCCAGCTAATTTTTGTATTTTTAGAAGAGATGGGATTTCACCATGTCAGCCAGGCTGGTCTTGAACTCCTGACCTCGTTATCCACCCGCCTTGGCCTCCCAAAGTGCTGATATTACAGGAATGAGTCACTGTGCCCGGCAAAGAGTTCAGTGTTTTGAAAGAACAGTAAATAGTCCCTTTTTGAAGTGTTGTGGGTGAGAAGGCTGGAAAGATGGTTTGGGTCCAGAAGCTTTCGATACACGTTAAGAAGTTTAGTCTTTATTCTGCTCTTAAGGCTGAATGAGAGTTTGTTGCTAATTTAATAGCAGAGTAAAGTAAGAATTATCATTTAGGAAGATCACTCTAGCAGCTCTGTGAAAAATGGATTGAAGAAAGGAAAAGAAAAGTAGGGAGACTGGTCGCAGTGGCTCTTAAGATTATTGAGAAAGGCTGGGCGCGGTGGCTCAAGCCTGTAATCCCAGCACTTTGGGAGGCCGAGGCGGGTGGATCACGAAGTTAAGAGATCGAGACCATCCTGGTCAACATGGTGAAACCCCGTCTATACTAAAAATACAAAAAATTAGCTGGGCATGGTGGTGTGTGCCTGTAATCCCAGCTATTCAGGAGGCTGAGGCAGGAGAATTGCCTGAATCCAGGAGGCGGAGGTTGCGGTGTGGTGAGCCGAGCCGAGATCGCGCCATTGCACTCCAGCCTGGGTAACAAGAGGGAAACTCCATCTCAAAAAAAAAAAAAAAAAAAAGATTATTGAGAAAGATGTTAATGATCCCAGTGTAATTGGTGCTTACAGAGACTGTGCTTACAGAGAGTAAAGAATATCTAGAATTGATCAGACTTAGCAATGGATTAGATATTGGAGGCAGGGAAGGTTGAAGAATCAATGTCAGATTTGCAGCATGACAATTCTGCATGTTTAAGGAGGCAAGGACAGGACTATAAGGTTGATTGGCTCCAGATGGTGACTTTGTCTCACTTTCCACACCTGCAGACTGTGTAACCCTGCTGTGTAGTGAGGCTGTTGTGAGAATAAATGAGAAAAGAGGTTGAAATTCTGTGTTCTGTGAGACAAAGAGAGCTGAATGAATTTGAGAGGGTATTCACGGTAAACAGCTGTGAAAAGAGTTGTTTCTGTAGGAATTCATCAGTCTTAGTGAAGAAGCAGGTGAGGGGATATGGTGACATCTCAGGTTCATCCACCTCAGTGATGGTGATATAATGGGAGAAAACCTGATTGGAGGTCACAGTCTCTGGGTTCCAGTTCTGGGGTTGCCATTGACTCGCTGTGTTCCCTCTAGCACATCTCTTCCTTTTTTTCATCAATTACAAAACAGATTGAGTGTCTTCCTTTGTTTTCCTGTGGCAGGGATGGTGTTTTATACACTCAATCACCTGAGTGTATCTTCATTTTGTTAAGACTTCCACATTTGTAAGGAGATAAATAATGCAACAGGCTTTTTTTTTTGCCTTATAGCTTTGGGCATTTGAATAATTGAATCAGCCACTTAAAGCTATTTTAAGACATATGACAAGTAAATATAACTAACTTAATTATTAAAATAAGCTTTTTAAAAAGTTTGAGTGTTAGTTTTTATTCTCCTAGCTGCTTATAGGTAATAAAGCAAATGTGTGCCACTCAGTTTACCTTAATACATTCTTTTATTTTCAAAAACTTTAATGCGAAAACGTTACAGATTTTAAACATAAATTTATTAGAGTCATCATGGCAGATTTCACTTATCTCAAAATTTTATCTTTGCTTTGATAATTGTAACAGTTGCACTATTAATTGACATAGTCATAGCTTTGTTCTCCTTCCTATAGTGTGTAGATGAAATTCCTGTCACCTTTCCTTGCCTTTTATTAATAACTTAGCTATGTAAAGTGCATAAAAAATAAAATTACAGACTGTTGTCACACAAAAATTTTTAATTTTACAAATCAAATTCAGGAGCGTATTAAAGTATAATACACTGTGGCAGACTAGATTTATTCTAGAAATACAGTGGATCGGTTTTACAAAATCTGTTAATGCTCTATGTTACATTTATAAATTAATGAAAATGAAGCCTAAAAATTTTAGTCTTTTCTGGTATAGAAAACAACAGTAAAGTAAAACTAATTAGAATTAGAAAGAAGCTTTCTTAACAAAGAATATCCAAACAACTCTATCCCAGATACCAACAGCAAATACTATACCAAACT